TTTATAGCAATAAAAATAATTTCTTACTTAGTTTGAAACATAATAATTTTTCTCTCTGAATATATTACTATCTTAAAATACAATAATAGATTTTCTAATGTGAAACCATTTTTCCATTCCTGAGACAAATCTTGCATGGACATGCTAACTTTTTAAATATGTTATTGGTTTGGCTTGTTGGTATCTATTCTAGTACTTCAAATATATGTTCACAAGTGAGATCAGGCTACTATTTTTCAATATCATAAATCCTTACTAAATGCGTTAAAGACAGTTCCACTTTTTTCTGTCCTTTGAAACAATTTACATAAGATAGAGATTATCCATTCCATATAATTATGGAAGAATTCACCTACCACAAGCCTGGACTTGATGAATATATGAAGGCGTCTGTGTGTGAAGACATTTAGCTTTTAATTCAATATCTTTAATGGTTTTAAGTCTATTTAAGTTTTGTATACCTCTTTGAGCCAATGTTGGTAATTTGTATTTTGTAGGAAATTGCTCTTTTTGTCTGTATTTTCAAATTAATTGAAATAATACATTAATATTACTGTTTGTCTAAAACATCTGTCTTCTCCATGACTGTACCTCCTTTTATTCCTAATATTGCTTTATCTGTGTCTTCTCTATTGTTTACTTGCCCAATCATACTAGCATTTGTGTTTACTTTCAAAGAATAGCTTTTGGTTTTGTTGATTTCTATTGCTGGTTTCTTTTTTTAATGTTCTTTGTAAGACAGAGTATACATACAAAAGAATATATATATATATATATATACACACACACACACACACACACACATACTTACATACACATATAGTGTACATGTGTGTTTTAAGAAACAATAAGATGAACACTAGGGCACTCACCTTCAAAGTTAAGAAATAAAATATTACTATTATTTTCAATGTTTCTATATATCGCTCCTCAGTAGCATTTTCTTCCCTCCCACACCCCCTAAAACTCAGGTCATCACTAATGGATGATTTTTGTGTTAATCATTTACTTTCCTGTCTCTGCTTAATTTTATCCCATGTATATGTGTCTTTTTTTTAAATTTTTTTTAACGTTTATTTATTTTTGAGACAGAAAGAGACAGAGCATGAACGGGGGAGGGTCAGAGAGAGGGAGACACAGAATCTGAAGCAGGCCCTGGGCTCCGAGCTGTCAGCACAGAGCCGGGCGGGGCTTCGAACTCACAAACCGCCAGATCATGACCTGAGCCGAAGTCGACCGCTCAACCGACTGAGCCACCCAGGCGCCTCCATGTATATGTGTCTTTAAAGAAGATACAGTTTTATTTTGCCAATTTTTAGCTTTTACGTATATGCAGCCATATGCTAATTATATGTTACTTGATTTCATTGCTCAAATTATGTTTGTGAAATTTAACCATGCTGAACATACAGAGAGGTTCATTCATTTTCAATGCTATATAGGACATCATTAGAAATAATGCACAATTAATTCATTAATATAATTTTTGAAAGGGATAATATTCATATATAAATTTAAGTTATGTCATGCTTCTTAAAACTATAAAATAATTTGATACTATATTTGTGGAGATTGGACATATTATTGAATGTAAAATTAAAAATGTAAAGGCACCATTAGATTTTCAATGATGAATTAATGACCTTTAAAGTTAATTTAAAAATAAATTTTGTATGGAAGAACGCCCAATTACAAAATGCAACATCCAAAAATAATTTTAAGATTAATGAGTTATTGGGGTGCTTGGGTGGCTCAGTCAGTTAAGTGTCGGACACTTGAATTGGCTCAGGTCATGCTCACGGTTTTGTGAGTTCCAGCCCTGCTTTGGGCTCTACGCACTGACCTCGCAGAGGGATTCTCTCTTTCCTCTCTCTCTGTCCCTCTCTTCTCACACTCTGTCAGTCTCTCTCAAAATAAATAGCTTTAAAAAAAAAAGATTAACGAATTATGGATTGACTATTTGAGTTCAAAAAAATCTCCTTTAATGGAAAATCCTCCAGGTCAACTTTAAATATCTCATTTATAAAGCTGAGAGCTGCACAACTTTAAATTAAAATGTAGCAAATGGAGTTTTAAAAAAGAAAATATAAAGTATCCTCCATGTAGTCTGGGAAAAATAATTACTTTGTTTCATTTTACAGTATCATCCAAATTTTATTAATTGTATGATAGAAAGCTATCATACTAATAATAAATCTTGATAAGAAAATTAACGCCAAAAGGAGAGTGAAAGTGAGAGGGATTATCTGAGATTGTTTTACTTTTCCTGTGGACAGTTTTACAGTGGATTCACAGGGAGGCTTTCTAAAATGACATCCTTTTTCAACAGAGGAAAAAGAAGCCAAAGAATGGAAATTTATGGAAAGTCCAAAAAGTAAATGGGATCTTCTTAGTTGAGCATAATAGTTATGAAATTTTAAATCTGTTATTTCTCCTCTAGGCATTTACCTTCTGCAAAATGGAAATACTACTTTCAAATTCTCACCAGCTCAAAGGTAAATCGTTAAGACTGACCTGTCTGTAACTAACTCTCGGTACTTAGGTAATGCCATTAAATTTCTTTCTAACCAAACTCTTTGTAAGACAAGAGTTCTAGTTAAATGAAAAGCATGATGAACCACAGGTAACCACAGGCTCCATATATGGAATGGAAACTGCCAAGGGGATTACAATAGGACCAAAAAATGTGCATAGGCTTATATGTATTTAGTGATTCAGCAGGTGTTTCAGAATCTAGCTGTATCTCAATATGAACATCAACAATCTACTTTCAAAAAGGTAGCTGAGGGGTGCCTGGGTGGCCCACCTGGTGAAGTGATGGACTCCTGCTCAGGTCATGATCTCACTCATGGTCTTGAGATTGAGCCCCGTGTAGGGCTCCCGCTCTGGGCTCTGGGCCTGGAGTCTGCTTAGTATTCTCACTCTCCCTCTCTCTGCCCCTCCCCTGCTTGCTCTCTTTCTCTAAGAAAAA